CCGGGATGTTTAAACGTTTTATCTGGGGCACGGGACGAGGGGACCGGAGGGCTGGAAGAGAAGGAGCCGCAGTTCTGCAGAGAGACAGCCGAGAACACAGCAAACAAACAGGACTCTTTGGAAACGTCACAGCTTTGTCGGAGGAAGTTCTGTTTACCGTCAGCTGGGAGGAGACGAACGGCAGCTTTGTGGAAATATGTTTGTGTTTGGTGCCAAGACCCAGAGCTCAGTTTCCAGGAATTTTGGGTGATTTAGTGTATGATTTAAACATTCTTCTCTAGAATTCCTCTTCCAGCAAAGGGTCCTTTTCACTACTGGGCCACTTTTTCCTTCTCAATAATAGATCCTTAAGTCTGTTTGAAAGCTAGGGAATAGAAAACTTACCTTAGTTTTAAAATTTGAAAAAAATTACGTAAGCCCATATCCCTGCTTTGAAGTATCATCCTCCTTCCTGGAAATTTAATTGTAGAATACAAAAGGCAGAATCAAGTATAAATCTTCTTTTCTAGAAGGTGCCATAAATTTTCTGGAGAACTAATAAATTCAGATTTTAAAGAAAAGAGAATCCTTGACTATTCTGAAAATATGTGCTATCTATTGTTTTCTAATTGTTTTCATTTCACAGACTTTGATAAAATACCCTCCTTTCCAAATCGGTATCATTATTCCAAATCTGTATCATTATTCCTAATCAGCTGGTACTTAATAACCCAACACTAAGCTGTTTCTTACTATTTTATGACTCTGGCTTAGGCCTATTGTTTTTCCATAAGTAAAGCCTTCCAAACGTGTATCGCTTCTACCCTGGCACCTAAGACATGTTAGAGTGAGGAGGGGTCAGCAACAGGGAGGGGAGCACGGAGGGCAGACAGAGAAAGCAGAACAGCAGAGCAGCTGCCTCAGAAAACCGGGATCACACCCAGAGCCTCGCACCTGAGCCCTGCACTCTGTCCTACCACTGACTTGGGCATCCGTTCATTCATCTTTCGAATGAATGAGATTATTCAGTGATTGCACTTCAGTACTTATCTCTGTGAGGTACGACCTCCTTCCCTTTCATTAGAAAACCCTAGTTTAAAAAAAAAATACCAAGAGACCACCATTTTATTTGCCCCCAAGGTCACTGACTCTCTAAGCATCACCTCCAGTTGCATCCTGGGAAGCCCACAAGCCCCAACGACGCCTCAAAACTGGCATCTTCCGCACCCGAAAGGGGTCGGGGGCTGCCCGTCATACACCCCCGAGCGCTGCACTAAGCTTTTCCCAAGGAGGCCTGCACATGTGTGCCTCCTGCAGCAGCCCGGCTGGCTTTGGACCTGACTTGGTTATTATTTGGATCAGCTCACTGACACTGCCAATAACATCACACATAATAGAACACACATCTTGTAACTGAACCACAGACAGGCCCAGGAACGTTCAGAATCCGGGAGATATGTACTGAAAATGGAAACTGCTCAAACGGAAGAGCTGCTGGGGGACTTTCAAGGACAGAAGCAAACTTCTTCTCTGAGGTTAAGTAACCACGTTTTAAGATCCTGCAGCGGCCGCGGCCACGGTCTTGCTTTTAAAAGCCTCCACCATTTCTCAAGGAGTCGCACCGAACAAAAGGCCACATCTAGTTCCCCCCAAATCAAGATTTAGCCTAATATTACTGAATCTAATATTACTGTGTAGGGCCTAGAAATAAAGCAAGCCTTCCAGAGGTTGGGAGGAAAAAAAGAGAGAGAGAGAGAAAAACAGCCTTTTAGAATGAGTAGCTCCCACTCTAATCTGAAGCTTGTACTGTCCTTTGCAATCACTGCAGAGAAACAATTAATAAAGGAACCCATTAAGACCTGATTATTGCTGCGAAAAAAGCAAGGTAGAGTTTCAGCCCTTTGAAGTAACTGAGAATGATTCAGGCCTCATTACAGAGATATAATCTACATTCATACATTTATGTTAGTGATTCGAATCTATTGGGAGAGATTGAATTCCGTTAAATAGAGCATCTTTCCCGCGGAACTTTTCTCAGGCTTTCTCTGGCTAACCTAAGAGGCGACCCGACAATGCGGAGCAGCGGAGTGCTCAGGGATTCGGCTGTGCTACAAAGACAGGCTGCACAGGAAAGAAACAGAAGAGCGAGATATCATCTAAAAAGCTATGTCAGCTTTTCCTTTGGGCTGTTTTGTAAAGGCCCTTCCTGTCATCACGCTGCACAGAAAAGCAGAGCGAGCGAAGGCCCCCGAACCTCTAACCAGCACACCTGCTGCAGGCAGGTTTAATATGGAGGTTTGGAAGGCGTGTTCCCCCGTGTCGGACGGAATCAAAACAGGAAACCTCTCACTTAAAGATCAGAATAGCTTATTCCACTGCTGCAGAAAGTTGGTAAATAGGGGTGTGTGTGTGTGTGTGTGTGTGTGCGAAACAGAGAGAGAGAAACTCCATTTGGAGTGGGGGTGGGGTGTCCCTTGTAAGTAAAAAGAAAAAAAAAAAACCTCAAGTGGCATCAATAGTGTTGATGCCCAGTGTAGAGAAACCTCAAAATAACAACTTCTTGTGTTTTGTAACTTTTCATGACAGAATTTTTATTGTATGGTTTCATCAAACATAATTAAAAAAAAAAAAACATGTAGTTTTAATTAGTTGTCAATTCAAACATTTGGACTCTGCTGAACAATTGGGCTGAAACTCTAACCCCTTAGAAACACAACCTCTCTTTCAGGCATTTGTCAACTCAAGTAGGAAACTGGGAACTAAAACATTGAAATTAGACTGAGTTCATTTTCGAATATCCATGCAGTCATGAAAAACCAAGGTTTGTTTGACGTATGCTCTTCATTTGCTTAACTCTCCAAGTAATAGCTACTGAAATCAGAGCTAATTATATTAAAATTTTTAATGTTTAAATGTGGTGTTCACCATCTATGTTGTTGGAATCTTCTGAATAGGCATTACGATGGGCAATAAATAATGGAATTAAAATCTCTGCTTCTAGTATGAAATGCTTCTCTTTCCAAGGCCCTGAGCGCACAGGAAAATAGAAGCACACGCATGTAAAGTCATTTTTCAGGTCACTAAACAGCATAATTGGGCAATCACTCCTGAGGCTCATCTCAAACCAGAGACTTTTAACTTCTTTGTATCCTCTTCTGTTCCCCATGAAGACTGAGGCCAAGCACACTTTATAGGGATTCTGGCTTATTGGACATACACAAGCCCTTCTGCTTAGTTCCCTCTGAATTACAGTTGTAGAGGTCAAACTCCCAAGTTCACCTTCGAGTGATTCTTCTTAGAATAGCAGCTTAAATGTTAGATTGAACCATATGAAATGGCCAGGACTGGGGGTAGAAAACCATAAAATATTGCCAATTTCGTATATTTCAACCTGATCCAATCTCCAGCTCTTTACAGAATAGAAATATTGTTACCAATACAACTTGAGCCACTCCTTCCGGACAGGCTCTCCAGAGTTGAAAGTAATTCTTGAAAAAGTGACCCTGGAGGAACTGTCTCTCACTCGGACTGGAACAGATGATCACAACAGTCCTTTCTTGTGACTCAATCCTTGGCAAAGGCTTCCTGACGGAGGACTTGGTTCTGTCCGCACCTGGATTTCATGCAAGTTTCTGCCACTGGTGAGGGAATCGCGAGGTGGTGGGAGAGGCAGGTAGTGCAGTGACACTGAAAACAGCCCTTGGAAACGGTACCTGTGCAGATAGAGAACAGAAAACGCCCCTTCATGGCAAAGTGCAAGGAAATCGCGTGGAAACGAGAACAGCCGAGTATCAGCCAAATTGTGCGGTTAAATCTTCGCCATCTCAGTAAAGTGCGTCCGCTTTGAAGTGCACGCGCGATCCAGTTAAGGACTCATGTTAGCAATTACAAATCCGTCATTGGGGTCCCCGATTTCATTGGCGCCCAGAGAGGCGACTTTTAAGGGTGACTATAAATCTCTCCGAGCTTAAAAGGCAGAGAGGGCCAAAGTGTGAACTTTTTATTTCAGCAACGGAAGGGAGAAATCAGTGATTCATTAAAGCGGAGACCTCCTTGGAAGCTGGCAGAGAGGAGGAGAGGAAGCTAATTATGTCTCCCTTTTCTGCGTTCACTTCGATCAGTTTATAATCTGCTGCTCCGGAGGGATTGTCCTCAGCATCTTCTGCTTCTCCCCCAGCCCTCCCCCTCTTCTGGGAGCCAGAGGGGGAGGGAAACAGGCAGCTAAGCACCAGGCTCCAGGTGGCTCTCAAGTACTTCGCTGCCAAAAGGAAAAAAAAAAAAAAAATCCTAGCTGGAAAACAAGTGAGAAAGGGGCTCCCGGAGGGGATTGGTTCAGGCTGCAGGCAGCGGAATTGGGAACGCGGGAGGACTGGAGCTGGTGGCCCGCGCAGCGGCTCCGGGCGCCTCCGCAGCAATTAGCCGGCGCTGGGGGCGCAGCGGGCGGAGGCTGCGCGGCTGGGGCGCGGGCAGAGGACCCGCGGCCCCCCAGCCCCCCAGCCCCGCAGAGGCAGCCTGCTCCCTTCCCCTCGCTCCAGGCTCCCCACTCTCGGCCCCCTCCCTCCTCCCTCTCCTTGGCGTTCCCAGCAGCCCGGGGTTTCAGATGTCCCACCGCCGTTTGACCCCCTCCCCCTGCTCCTCCACCCTGCAAATGAGGTTTGACCAGCAGAGGCAGAGCCCACCTCTGGCTCAGAACCACTGACATTTAGACTCCGGGCTTCAACCTGTTTACAAGCCGGCCTTCCAAAGGCGGGGGGAGGGAGACAGGGCTCAACAAAACACCAGCCGCCATCCCCCCAAACAAGAAGTGACTTTCTGCAGGCGCTACATCCACAGGCACCAGCAAGGAGAGAAAGCGACAGGGAGAGGAAAACGGCGCGGGGCAGCCGCCGCCAGCGCTGACACCCGAAGGCGGGCGCCGGGCGAGCCGTCTGTCGCCGGGGCTGGGCGGAGAGGGACCGCGGGTGCGCCCCGGCCACGCAGCTCTCTCCCAGCCTCCCGCCCCGACCCCGGTGGGTTTTGTTCACCGTGCTGTCATCTGTTTCTAAGACTTTCCCCCCATCTAACATGGTGAAGAAAGGAGTGAAGAAGAGAACAAAGTAACTCCTGGGAGAGTGAAGATCGCTGGTGACCAGCAGCACCACCGCCACCAAATAGCTCCAGCTCCTGTGGCCACCCACGTCCACCGCTCGCGGGGAGACTGCAGGGGCGCACGGAGGATCCCGGCCGGGCGAGGAGAGGCAGCGGCCCTTCCGAGGAGTTATGGATGGTGGTGCACTCACTTCTGGCCAGATCCGCAGCCCGAGGGAGCTAACCAGCGGCCGCCACCTCCAGCTGTCTCCTTGCCTCGCACCGGGTCTCACCCTTCCAGTATGTTCCTTCTGATAAGACCATTTCCAGTGCCGAGAGTTTCAGTACAATGTGGAAATGGATACTAACACATTGTGCCTCAGCCTTTCCCCACCTGCCGGGCTGCTGCTGCTGCTTTTTGTTGCTGTTCTTGGTGTCTTCCATCCCTGTCACCTGCCAAGCCCTTGGTCAGGACATGGTATCACCAGAGGCCGCCAACTCCTCTTCTTCGTCCTCCTCCTCGTCCTCCTCCTTCTCCCCTCCCAGTGCGGGGAGACATGTGCGGAGCTACAACCACCTCCAAGGGGATGTTCGCTGGAGAAAGCTCTTCTCTTTCACCAAGTACTTTCTCAAGATCGAGAAGAACGGGAAGGTCAGCGGGACCAAGAAGGAGAACTGCCCGTACAGTAAGTAACAACTGCGCGCTGCTCCCTCCGGTCATCCACCCCCACCTCCGAGGGGAAATCTGTTCCAGATGTGGCCAGCTAAATATTTACGTCCCCAACCCCTGTAAAATGATTAAGCGGAATACTTTCACACTAAATCACCCCCCCGCCCGTGTATACATTGTGCAGCCTCACCCCTCCCCACGGAGCTCCCTCCACACCCCACACCCCTTGTCACCCCATCCACCCTGTCTCTGGGCTGACACTTGCTGGACACCCAAGGGTTGTTGCTGCGCACGGATGCCCTTCTCTGTCTCATCGTCCTTCCCTACCTCATCCCGGGGTCCCCTTCCCCTCCCTTCTGGAGACGGCTCAAGTAAACACATTTTGTTTCTTTTCGCTGGCAATCTTATTAAGAGTTTTGGGACAGTTTCCTCAAGCTGAAAATAATTATCCGCTGTCAATTATAGGGGTTTTATGGAAACTTTATTTAAGGAAGGAAAGGCAGGTCACTTGCTTGCACCCTGTCCCTTTACCCCACCACCTCTCTAGATGGGAGCGACGGCGGTTTTCGGGTTTTGATTGTTTTTTTTTGTGCGAGGTAAGGGGTGTTGTCCCTCGTGTTGGCTTGAGTGGTTCAGCCCATGAAGCTCTCTTTTCCGGCACCGTCGCTCTTAGTCTTGGGCCTGCCTTCTCCCGGGTAACATGATGCTCATGTCTGCGTTGTCAAGAGCATATGCGCTGCTTTGTGCTGTCCTGTTGACTGTTTCTTCTGAAACCTCTCATATTGCAGAGCCCGACTACTACAGCACTGTGAACATCTGGGGCTGGATCCACACAGACCTCACACAAATTCCATTGTCATCCTTCGATTTTCAAAGTAAAAGTCATAATAAGTCTGTTTCCAAGGCTGTAGTGCATCCCCCAGGATGAGGACTTCTCCTTCCTTCAAACGATGCCCTGGATGTCTGGGTTGCTTTCCTTGTTTTTTTTTTTTTTTGTTTGTTTGTTTCCTCCTTTCTTTAGCTCTTTTTCTTCTTTCTTTCTCGCAGGGGTGTGGACTGGGAAGGGGAGGGAGAATGAGAAGAGGAGGGTGGATATTGTGTTTCTTCTTGAATCCGTCCAGCAAAGCAGATTACTCTGGTGGCTTCCTTTCCTAGTTACTTTCAAGTGGTGAGACTTATTCATCCTCTATTGATTGCTATTTGAAAGGATCCTGAGGCCATGTAATGGCACACTGAACATGGTAGACAAAGACAGTTGAACATCTTTAATGACCATTTAGCATTATCTCAATGGTACTTTCAAGTCACCTTTTTAAAGGGACCTTTTTGTGTCAGTTGTTTGGGAATTTGAAACATTTGCCAGCTGACTTAAAAACATGGGTCATACATTTCAAGATCCCTTGGCCCCGGGAGGATCTGGTACGAACGGGATGGTTAACAAGAACTTAACATTTTCCTTTTAAATAAAGATTGACAAGAATTAAGACTTAGTCTTCTTATTTGAGGACTCCCATACATTCAATATTAACTTCTGTTCCCCCCAGCGGCTGCTTCCGTATACTAAAAGTAGCAATGTGTTTACAAGGAATAATATTTGTAGAAGGATTTTAAAGTATTCCATTTTATGTTTGATGCTAAAGATGTTAAAAGCCCATTGCCCATATAGTTTTTCCATTTTGATTTATAGAAAGTGGCTGAGATAGTGTCATTTATGATAAAGGTTTTTTTTCAATTGTTAGCTGAATTCATTACATACTATATATAGATGTTATGGTTGATTAAAACTTTAATACCTTTGTTCACACCTAAAACAATAGTTGTGGTGTCATCCAGGTAGGACGAGGGGAATAAGTGATCCAAACACTGACTGAAGAGTGAGCAGAGAGGTTAAAATAAATAATACCCATGGGCTGAAGTCCTTCTTCATATTCAGTTCACAGAGATAACTCAAAGGAATATAATAACATTTTAGAGTGCTACCCTTGAGCCAACTTTCTTCTTTTTTCTTTTTTTGACACTAACTTGATTTTGCTATTGCTATATTTTATGTGTCTTTATGATGTGATGCAAGGCCCAATCCACACTAGTTTATTTATGCAACTTAAATTACTATTTCCTGAAATAATGATCACTGTATGATTAATGGCTTAGTAAAATGATTTTCAGGGTACAAATTGAATTATATTTTTACAGTCAAGAATTATCTGCACAGAGAGAAGTATTCAACTTTCATTGCATAGAAACGAGTGTGGAAAATTTTCATCCTAACCACCCAAATATAGTAATATCTCTTCCAGATGATAAAGTATATTAATGGTTTCTGTTAAAATTACAGTATCTTATAGAGCAATGCAGTCTTAATCAGTGGTTGAAAATGAAAGGGGGCGGGTCTCACTCTGTTAAATAAAGCCATAAATAATTTAGGCTTTCCAAGAACATCTGTATGAAGACATAGCCCGTGAAAAGCAGAGGTTGAAAAAGCCTTAATTTCACATGTGGCCAGGTAATCAGAACCCAGCTGGGCTGATTCAGCTGAACTACATGGTATCATTAAGATATTGTCTAAATGTTGCTTAATTGCATGTGAACCAACCTTTGCCTACAGGGTAAGCAGCCAGCCAGCCCACCAAATGGTAGCCTGGTAAATATTAGGGTATCTAACCTCTGAAGAGTGTCAGTTCCTTGTCCAAAAACCACATTTCAGTAACATTTTCCTAAACAAGTTATTAATTATTCTCAATACACAAAGCTGTTCTTTTGAGGTTTGCTTATTTGAAGCTTAATTTTCTTAGTTACTTTTGACCCTAATGTTACTGCTGCTAAAATACAGTAACAGCTTATCTAAGAGGTTACATGTTTGTGATGTCCTGGGTAATTAAACAACTGCTTTACTGGCTTTTTGCCAGCAAAATGCTAACAAAAGGGAAGTAAGGAAATCACCCTTAAGCATTGCAAAATCATTTTTAGCTTCTACCTCCAAAGCTGGTTTCCAGAAACTGGATGGTTCTAAAAATGTTACGTATGCTCAAGAAACTCTTCTCAGTTTGGGTGATAATTATAATTTGTTGGGTTTTTTTTTGGGGGGGGGGGTTTCTTTGTAACCATTTTAGGATAGTAGAATAAAGAGAGCAGAAATGAATTCTGTTTCTCCCGTGAGAAGTCTGAGAAAGCTTAAATAATTTAGGATAGCTGTGGTGTGTCTGTCACTAGACAAGCTCAGGCTCATTTCGGTGTGTCCTGTCAGGCTTTCCATCCAGACCTCTGTCCTTGAGACACCGCCACTCGGCTCCGGTTCTGGCCTCAAGCAAGCCTGGGTCCAGCTGTTAGGGTCCCCTTGCAACTGGGCCTGGTGGACGCGTTTCTGGATGTAAGTCAAACAGCTGTGGCCTTCTCTCGGGGTTGCCACTTGTAGAAAAGGGGTGTCCACCGCAAAGAAAATGTGTCCCTACACTCGCGACAGTGAAGGATGAATAGCCTCGAAATGGAAAGCCACTGTGCTCAGGGGTCTTTCTGGAGAAGGAGTACGGGCTACAAAAAGGAAATCCGTAGGCACTGCGCAGGTAGTAGGTGCTCTCTCTCTTCAAACCTCGGTCTCATTTAACACTCAGAATAGTGCTATGATTTAGCTATAACTGTCCACATTGTTCGAATATGCAAACTAAGCCTGAAGAAAAAGTGAATTACCCAAGGTTATCAACTAGAAATCGGCAGAGCTGGGGTCCAAGCCTAAGTCTGTTGGGTTATACTGCTCCTTGTTTTTTCTACTCTGCTACTGGCGACACTGATAACAATGTATTAGAATTAGACACCTCAAAACCCCCAACTACAAATGATCCCCAAGCAGAATTGCTTCTTGCTATGAATGCCAACAGTTCTTCAGGATGGAACTGGAACAGTAGTGGCATGATGGTGGAACAGAAATGAGCTCGTTGGAAGCGGCAGTGCAGGTGGTGAGATGGTGCAGGCTCCGCCCGGGCACCCTCCAGGTGAATGTCTCTCTCTTTTTCATATTATGTTTGGAGATATAGTTGCTTCTAGGTACACAAAATACACATACATCCATCTCACTCATTTCAACAGAGGGCATTAGAAATACATGACTATTTAAGAGAACTCCATGAATGTCATTGTATATAGTAATTGTTTACAGCTGAGGGCCAAATGTTTAATTGCTTCCATGTGTAATAAAATAATTTGATTGTAAATACCAGTGTAAAACTGGGCTGTTGCAGAAACTTCTGGTATATGATTCTAAAAGGAGCAAAATCTTAGAGACCTAAAGATAAACAGATAGGTAGATGATAGATTTAAAAAAAAAAAAAAGTTTTCAAATGAGCCTGCAAATCAAAAAGGCACCTGGCCATATAACAATGAAAGATCATTGTTTAGGATTAAAAGTTTGTAATATTACTTTTGAATCAAGATAAGAGCTTATTGTAGGAAGTTCAATAAAGTGAGAAGATAATTGTTGAGGAAAATAGGAACTCCAATATTATCTCCTAACAATAATACACTAGTTTCCTGGGAAGGGAAGCAGTATACAACGTAAGGTTTCCACTGTTGTCTTCAGTGGTTGTGTCTAGAGTTTGGGTGCGTAATTTATAGCCAGCAGCATTTAATCACAAGCATCCAGGATTTATGAAGGTGGCAGGCACTGTATTTAATGTTTAAGTGACACTGGTCTTGTTACCTTTACTGCATTCCTACCATATAGACCCTCCACTTTGATGGCTTTATCATAAATCCATTAAAAATGCACAATTACAGAGAGTTTCCTCTTCATAAACATGATTTATAACCATCTACTAGGGAAAAAAAAGAAAACAGCAGAAATCACATGCCAATATTGGAGTTTGAGGATCCAGAGACTCCAATCTCTAGGTCTTGGGTAATCTATTACCCAAAGGTATGGACCACTTTTTCCAAACAGGTTTTTCAAAATGACGTTTAAGCACAGAATTTAAGAGAAAAGGAATAAGGTCTTATAGAACTAAGGAGACCCCATGGAATATGTAT